TGCCGAGTACATATATTTTATTCACGCTTCTATTGAATATTGTAGTTTACATAAGCGAACCCGATCACGAAATTAGCTTCGGCAGTCAACGTGTTAAATTTTTTTAAATTAGGTTAGAAATATGTATAAGAACAAGGAATGTAATATCAAGACTTCAGGTTAGAAATAAGTCTTATTTTAGCGTGGAATTTATTTGCCTCTAATTACGATATCCCCATTAGTGGCTGACGTTAAAGAAGGCATTTGCCATATCTCTCTATTTTTATTGTCAATCAACTCTATCGCCAGAAAAAGTCGACAAATTAAGTGGATAAAACTCACACATATCTGCAGAATACATTCCGTGAAACGTATCAAATTCTTTGGGGATTGCAGTTAGCACATCTGGCAACAGGTATCTTGTGGTTTGGAAGAAATAAAACCTGAAATATAGAAAACTCAAGTCAAATATGTGACTAGAATTCAAAGGAGAATGCGTCCCAGTTTTAAAACTTTCCGGAACTGACGATATCCTCTTGGTTATCGGATTTTTCTTACAGCGTACTTTATTATTTAAAATGTTTTCATCAAACTTTTATTTAAATAGTTTCTTCTTCATAAGTAATTTTCTCGAATTGGATTACTGTTATATGCGAAACGAAATTTTAAATTTTCTGGAACAGTTGTCCAAGTAATTTAATAACATTTTTCGTGGGTCATGTCAGTATAAATTAAATTTACTTCATCAGTTTTATTGGGTTCTGTCCTTATACACTCACTTTCAAAAGTCTTGCACCCCCAAAAATTAGAATTAGGATTATTTTTATTTAAGTTTAAAACCCTTCTATTAAAAATATTATTAAAAAATGAGACAAATTGTAAATAAGTAGCTATTTTTTGCTTTTTCTTTAAAATTCGATATTTACACTATTTCTCAAATATCTCGAATACGGTTTATTTTAGAGAAATTATGTATGGATCAAGAATTATAGAAAATTATATCACAAACAACTTTTATTTAACTAATTTTCATAAAAATTTGATTTTTTTACATTTTGTCAAATTTCTCGAATATGGACCATTTTAGGAAAATTTTGTATAAAATAAAAATTATAGAGAATAATATAAGAAGTAACTTTTATTTAAATAATGTTCTTTTCCAAACATAAATAACAGAGATATTTTATTAATTATAAAAATGACCCTCTATAAAGTACCCCCCACATGTTTCGACTCTGCCCAAAATCTAATCCGTCCACCGGAGACCGAATTAAAGCTCAATTTTAAAATTTTATGTTTTTCTTTGTATCCGTTCATGAGTTATCGTGGATACAGACTCCTAGACGATATATCAGAAATAATTTTTAAATATGCCTAGAGCAAAGGTGAATTGAATGTAATTTAAAAAATATATTCATGAAATATTTGTGTATGTATTATCCATAATATTTTTGAAAACCTTTGGGGCTTCAGCGGAAAATTTTAAAATATATATTATTTTCTGCATAATAAGTCGAAATTGTTATTGTATTCAAACTGCAAATGTTTTTACAATCAATATAGATGAATAGTTTATGTGGAATGTATATTATATTTTACAAGTGTTCATATTTTCCGAGCATATCAAAAACAATTAATTTTAAAATATTTAATTCAAAAATTTATTTTGCTTTTGTGCCATGTAACAATTTTTTTTTTTATTTAAATTCCTATTAGTATTATACATGGTGTAACACAAATATCGGTAATAAATGATTTAAGATTTTCTTAACTTGATTTAACTACATGAAAAAGTGTACACCAAAAAGGTATTTATATAGATGTTAAGATAAGGGATAAGTCATTAAACCACCAAAACTGTTTATTTATTAGTAGTACACTATTCTATAGTCTTTTGCTTGGCTACGCGCTACGCAGTTGAGCTAAGACTACCATGCTGCTTTCCTTCGCTTGTCTTTCTTCGGCCTCCGTTTGTCCGTCGTGACATGCCAGGATTATTGACAGTGACCCCTGGTCAATAATGTTGGCGAACAAGGAAAATATCACTTACACGGCCTGATAGATCCTTGACGACCACAACTGAAAAAAGATCCCTTAAATCTTTTATTTGTTGGTCCTTCATGTCCTATGTCTCATCTTTTTCAACACTGGTATTTACTTGTAGACGGTCCTTCAACTTCTATGGGCCATTTTTTAATCCTTCTTGCATCAAATTTGCGTAGTATTGTCATAACTCATAACCTCACGATTAGATTGCGGTAGCTGTAGATGCAACGAGACACGTTCTTCCGCGTAGTCTAACCCGTATTCAATCACACTTGGAATTTTATCCCAAGAAAATTTTTTATAGAATCTGTGTATACTACAAAATTTCTGATTTCCATAATCACATAAAGAATCACAAATTTTCCCAAGTTTCGCGGATTGGCCGCCACTCGTAACAGTATCGGTTACCTCTGGTTTTCAAGACCTATTTATGAATGGCATATGCGCTCTTATTCGGATCGTAGCTGGTTAATTTAAATGTTTTCTGATATGACTTCTATGAAAACCGATATAACTGCTGATATTTCTTCCATCAATAACGATATTTTCTCCTCAGAAAATAAAGTTTCTTCGGACATTTTTTCTTTAGAAAGTAAAGTTTCATCCGATTTTTTTTCTTTAAAAGAAAATGTGCCTTGCGTGAAAAACGAAATCTCCGTTTTAGAAACTAAAATTTCTTCAAATATCTCTTTAAAAGATGAAATTTCTTATGTTCAGTAGAAACTATGTCTTCCGTCGAGGAGCAAATAAAAGATGGAAAATAGGATAGAAGAACTGGAACATACAGAATAGACCAAACACTGTGAAATAAAGTGCTATGAGGTGAAGTCAAAGTTAGAATTGGAAGGAGTTATAATTTCTGCCAATGTTAAAGCTCCAACTTTCGATGGAAAGATGTCATGGACCAATTATCTCAAATAGTTCGAAACAGTTGCTAGAGCGACCAAATGGTCTAAAAAATACAGTAAATTTGACCATCGCCATTCGAGAAGACGTTTTAGATTATATATTATTATGTAGAAGATACAAATGACTTTAAACAACTTAAATAGCGACTAAACATGATATATGGCCATGAGCAATTGAAGCATTTATACCAATCACAGTTAAAGAATTGCAAACAGAAATGAGACGAGACCCTTCAAGAATATAAAGCAGATATTGACAGGTTGGTGCGATTTGCCTACCCACACTACCAGAAAAAAAATTAATTCTGGATACTAATGCCAGTCACGTGAGAATTGGAGGAGTGCTTTCACAGATATAGGGAGGGGGGAAAAGAGCACTGGACCATTTTACTAAAGTACTCTCAAAACCTAAGCGAAATTACTCCATCACGAGAAGAGAACTCCTGGCAGTTTTACTCGTAAAATGTAAAAATTACTTCTACCAATACCAATATGGAAGGAATATTTTAATCCGTACCGATCGTACCTTAAGTGACCGATGTAATTCAAAAACTCGGAGGGTCAAATCACAGATTGATTAAACGACTTGAAGAGTAGGACTTTAAGATCAAACAAAGAGCCACCGAAATGCCGATTATCTTTCTAGAAGACCGTGTTAGTAGAGTACTCTTACTGCAACAGAGCAGAATTCAAAGAAAGTGGACTACAGAACAACTGTAGTCAATGATGAGCGGGCCAGATAAAAAATGATCCTGTTTTTTAAAGTAGAATAATGGAAAATTGGCCTATTTGGAAAGAAGTATTAAATCTCTCTCTAGTAGTTGTCATATTTGGCTCAGTGGGACTCTTTTATCCTGAAACATGGTCATTCCAAAGACTAGAATGGCCAAAGTACTCGATCAGTTACAAGACGGTCCATTAGGAGGACATCTTGATATTAATAAACTCCTTCAGAGAGTTCGTAGAAGGTTTTATTGGATGAATAGTTCCGATGATGTAAATGACTAGTGTAAGAAATGTACCACCTGTGCTATGAGTAATGAACCCCAACAAAAAGAAAAAAAAACATAAAGTCGTGCAACATCGGTAACCCATTTAAAAAGATTGTTTTAGATGGTGATGGACCATTCTCCATGACCGAGGGAGGTAATAAATTCATGATGATCGTTATGGGTAATTTCATAAAGTGGGTGGAAGTCTACGACATTTCAAATCAAGAGGTCGCAACTGTTGCAAACGCGTTAATAAACGAATTTATCAGTAGAGATCCACAGTGACCAAGGTAGAAATTTTGAAAGCCAGCTGTGACAGACTAGGCATGAACTACGGCATTGCACCCATAGTCGGATGGAATGGTAAAGGAAAGGAATAAGACAAATACCTGGCAAAAGTAGTTTGCAACCATCAACGAGATTGAAAAAAGGGAAACCTTAAAATAAATTTAAATTTTTGAAGTATTGTGTTATTTTTTTTTTTTTTTTGAAAGGAATTAATTTAAATGTTGTGGTTTGATTCCTAGCAGCCCCTGATTATAATTATTTTTATTATTTTTTTAAATAACTCAATGAAATGTAATGACTTTAATTATATATGTAAATCATTGTACAGTATAGTTTTTTTGGGCTTTATCGTAGTAATAGTTTGGCAAACAATTAGATATCTTAGTTTCAGCGTAAACCATATCACAGGGGTAAAGTTAGGAGTTTTTATGTATAGATTTTATTATAGACTTTTGAATGTTTTTAAAGGTTTTATAGTAACACAATACCCGTCGCTAAAATAAGAGTAATCAGAAGTATAGTAGAGGTGAGTCTCAAATAACGCATAAGAAAAAAAATTATGTAGTTAATATACAACTGGATATATATTAAATTTATACATTAGATGAACCCACTGTATATGTTGGTTGCCATTTACAATTAAATTATTATATTATAGTAGAATATAAGTATAGGAAGTAAATGTCATTAAAAAATTGATTGTTACTGATTTATAGTTGATGTTCTACTAATTCTCAGGTTTTGTGTTGTTAAAATGTCCCAGTATCATCTGCAATGCTTAATGATCTCAACATATATTTCTTGTTCGAAGAGATCTGTCGAATTCCATGCAAACATTTTTATTCTCTATTTTAACTGTAATCGTATATTTTTCAGATATCTCGCTTTTAATGAGGTTTATATCTCCCGTGCTTTCGATACTTATGTTACTGCTATTCTCATCTAATTGATTGGTGTTTAAGTTTCGTTGTAAGCATACTCGCACCAGATGACCAGTTTTCTTGCATTTTAAGCAGGTGGATTTGATTGCACCACATGCATTGGATCTGTGATCGATTTTACCGCATCGGAAACATCTCCCTTTTAAGTCTCTTATTGTTATCGAAGGTGATAATGAAGCGGACGGCTGTATTATACTTGGTCGTGAGGATGCGGGACGTGGATAGTTGAGTTTTTGTGCCGAGCTCGAAATTTTGTGTACTGTGTCAGAATGTTTGTATAAGTCTTCGGATATTTTAATATTTTCTGATTTTCCCATTTCTATCGACGTAGCTATATCTAGTAGTTTTGTAAATAATTGTGATGTATCTCGTTCTTGAATAATTTTTGTTCGTATATCACTGTCCTTCAATCCTCGAATAAATTGAAGAGATAGGAAACTTTCTAAGGTAGATTTTTGACAATTTTGGCACTTGAATTCACAGTTCAATGAAAGTTTCTTCAGTTCTGAGGCGTATGTTGCTACTGTTTCATCTTCGTGTTGTAAACGTGTGATAAATTTGTGTTGTAACGCCCATATGCTAGGTTTTGGATCTACGTAATCGTCTAGTACTTTCGTTAGTTTTTCAAAATTCATATTAAGCGGATCTTCTGGAGAGCACAAATCATGTAATCTCTCGTGCAATTCTGGGGATAGAGCAGCAAGTAAAATATACACCTTTATTTTAGCGTCTTCGATCTTGTTCAGGAGGAAAAATACAGTAAGTCTTTTCGTAAAATTTCTAAATGTTTCTGTTTCTTGAAAAGGCTGAAAGTTCATTTTTGGACCTCGCTCTGGCTGTATAGGTATATTAGTCTGTGACTGTGATGTGGATGGTTGTACAGGTGGACTATTTCTGTTCTGTAATACAAGAAGTTTCGTTTTTATGATTGTACATCGTTCTTCAAAATCGAACCTTGTTTCGATTTCTTGGTTAAGATGTTCTTCTGGGGTTTCCAATTCTATGTTGTGTTGTATATCTTGTAATTTCTGTAATGTTTCTTGAAGTGATTGAAGTCTTGTTTCGATTTCTTCATATGATATTATTTCTTGAGTGTTTACGTAGTTTTCTAGTTTTGCAATTAAGCCTTGTAATGAGGTGCGGGTTTTCCTTAGTTTTTTAATATCAGTAGTGGGCATCTCGTCGCCAATTTATTACATACACATTAAACATTAAACGTGAAATATTATTTTATTGTAAAAATTACTTTAACAGTGAGTTAACATTAATTATTATAACGTCGCGTCAGTCTGACAGCTTTCCTATCCGTTACCGTGGCGGTTAGTACATGACAAGATCAAAAAAAAAAAAATAAGTAAAAAGGGTTCAAGAACTGTTCTTTGAGGAATACCGCAATTTATGACTTGATAATTACTGGAAGTACCATTAATATTAAGCGTTTGTTTTCCATTTTTCTGTTAATTTTTTATTCGATTTAAACCAAAACCTCCATATCAAATATTTTCCATTAATTTCGTATGATTAATTGTATCAAATGCCTTTAAAAGATCAACAGAAATACATAAAGAAGGCTTTTCCTATCTATGGAATTGTTTAATAATTTTGTTAATCTCCAAAGTTGAGATGTTTCCCTTTAAACCAAATTGGTTGTTTGAGAGTATGTTATATTTATTAAAAAAGTAATTTCATTTTTTATAATTTTTTCAAAAATATTCCTCACACTTGACAATATAGATATCGATATCGATATCGATATCGATATCGATATCGATATCGATATCGATATCGATATCGATATCGATATCGATATCGATATCGATATCAAACAAGACTTGGATCAGCTTCAGGGGTTACCCCAAAAAAACAACTACAATCAGCGAGTTCAGCCAGTTATAAAAGAAAATAAAACACTCAAAATTACTAACCCGTCATTAATATTCCCTGTTAAATAGATACTCAAAAAATACTTACTTTGTTGTTGTTGTTGTTGTTGTTGTTGTATATGTGTTTAATCATTTAAAAGTTTATACTCTATTATTATTAAAGAAATTGTGCGTGTCAATACATAGAAAATTTTATATAGAAAAAAAAAATTAATAAATTAACTTTAGTTTTGAGATTAATTTTATTTATAAGTAATTATGGAAGAGTACATTAGAAATTTTAAAACTGAAACAATTGATACAATAATAATCGAAAAAGCAGGAGATTGTAAAGCACATATTAAAGACACTAATTTAACTAATATAAAAATTATTAATACTAATATAAGGAGCTTTACTAAAAATATTGATGAATTTAATGTTGTCTTAGAAAATATTGGTATAGATTTTGATGTTATCTGTTTGTGTGAAACATTTGAATTGACTGATTTACAAATATTAAAAATAAATGGGTACGACATATTGTATAATGAAAGCGCTATAAATAAAAACGATGGGACCGTTGTACTTATTAAAGAATCTTTTAAATACTCTTTCAAAATTGTAGATATTGGAATAATTAAAGCTATTAAAATTAATCTAACCGCTAATAATAAAACATATTTAATTACATGTCTATATAGACCCCCATGCACTAAGATCATTGACTTTAATGAAAGTCTAATATCATATATAAATAATTTGAATAAAGATTTTGATTTCCACATCCTATCTGGTGATATAAACATTGATTTATTTAGTGAACAAAATGAAGCCATCGAATATTTGAACATTCTAAATGGAGAGGGTTACAAATCACTTATAAATCAATTTACTAGGGTGCAAGATAATTCCAAAACTTGTATCGATCATATTTTTTTATTAGACAAAACGAATGATAATAACGTGTATGTTCCTATTGTACTGGAAACTTCTGTTACTGATCACTTCACCACCATAGTCCAAATTGTTACCCCCAAAAAAGGAGAAAATGTATTAAAAAATAGTAATTTTAAAACTTACATAAATTATGATGCTCTAACGAATAAACTAGAAAATGAAAAATGGGAAACTGTCCTATTTGAAAATAATGTTTGTCTGGCTACCAATAACTTTATTAATATTGTTAAAACTAAAATAAAAGAAAGTGAATACATCAAAAAAATTAAAAATAAAGAGGCAAAAAGATCCCCTTGGATAACAAAATCATTAGTGGTTTCTTCTAATATAAAAGATAAACTTTACAAAAAAATGAAAAATAATAATTCAATCGATAATATTAAAAATTATAAAAATTATAGAAACAATTTAAGAAATTTAATCAGAATCGCTAAATCCAATTATTATAAATCAGAAATTGAAAAAAGTAGCAAAAACTCTGCCGATCTATGGAAATCAATTAATAATATTATGAATCAAAACAAGAAGTCTAACAATATCTGTGAAATAACTGACAAAAATGGTTTAAAAATTTATGATAAAAAAATTGTTGCAAATGAATTTTGTGACTTTTTTTCCAATATTGGGAATAATCTTGCTAAGCAAATAAAACCCGTTGACAAAAAATTTAACAAAAAACTCGTTCCAAATTCGTTGTATTTATTAGATACAAATGAAAAGGAGGTCATTAATATTATTAATTCTCTTAAACTAAATAAAGCTCCAGGAATTAATGGTATAAAATCCGAAACATTAAAAAAAATTTCACGTCAAGTTGCTGTACCATTAAAATATATTATTAATACATCTTTTCAATTAGGAATCTTTCCAACGCCATTCAAAACGACAATCATAAAACCATTATTCAAAAAAGGAAAAAAAGACTTAATGACAAATTATAGACCAATTTCATTAATAACTAATTTCGCAAAGGTTTATGAGAAAATTTTAAAGATACGTATCTCACAGTTTTTGAACAAATACGATATAATTTCCGACAAACAATATGGATTTAGGGAGGGAAGATCGACAGAAGATGCAATAGCTCAATTGATAAAAAATATATATGAAAATATTGATAAAAAAAAGGCATCTCTATGCATCTTCATCGACCTTACAAAAGCATTCGATACGGTTAGTCATACAAAAATGATCGATACACTACACGAGATTGGTTTCAGAGGTCAAAGCTATGAATTACTTCGTTCATATTTAACAGAAAGAAAACAATCTGTCGTAATTGATGATGTGGTCAGCGAAAACAAAAATGTTATATGTGGTGTCCCACAAGGAACTGTACTAGGACCAATATTGTTTAACATATATCTAAATAATTTATTTGCTGTCAATTCAAATGGGAAAATAATTAGTTTTGCTGACGACACCGCAATTATTTATGAGAGCTCAGACTGGGATACATTAAAAACATTAGTTGAGAACGACCTCCCTCGTATCTTTGATTGGTTTCACCACTACTTGCTTACTGTCAATTTTAACAAGACTTTATTTATACCTTTTTGCTCATATGAAAATACCTCACCTACCTACAATAAAATTTCAATTAGAGTCAATAAAAATTTAGTCGACATTAGTTTTGCATCTAATATTAAATATCTGGGGGTATATATAGACAAACACCTAAAATGGGATATACATATTAATTTTTTAATAAAGAAACTCAGAACCTTATTATTTAGGTTTAAATTTTTATCAAAACTATTGAATTTTGAACAATTAAAAATGATCTATTATGGGCTTGCTGAATCACATATTAAATACGGGATCATAGCTTGGGGAGGGGCATTAGAATGCCATATAAACAATCTCAATAATACGCAAAAATATCTCATAAAAATTATATTGAAAAAACCATATACTTACCCAACACAGCAACTATTCGAAGAAAGCAAATTATTTGATGTTAGACAACTGTTTTGTCAGAATCTATTAATAAGGCAGCATTTCAATAAAGGCGAATTGAAAAAAAATGAATACAATTATAATACCCGTTCAAAAAGTTATACATATGTCTTACCCAAAGTATTGAAATCCAACACTCAACGAAGTTTTTGGTACATAGGTCCTAAACTATATAATAAATTGCCAATTGAGGTAAAACAAATTCATTCAAAAAATCTATACAAAAAATTAATAAAAAAATGGGTTTTACAATTTCCACGCCAAACTATACTTGCAATGATTGAAAATTATTATTATTAATGAAATATTATTATTATTATTATTATTATTATTGTTATTATTATTATTATTGTTACTATTATTATTATAATTATTACTTTTATTATGGTCATTATTCTTAATGTGTTATTATTATTATTATTATTTAATATTACTGTTCTAAAACAAAAAATATATACAAAAAAAAAATTATTAAAAAGTTATACGTAGGGTATTACAGTTGATCCTAATTCGCTCAACTTCAGACAGGTTTTCCTTATAGTTGGTCGTCACAAAGGTTAACTGTTACCAAAATATAATAAAAAAAAAAATAACTTTTAATTATTATAAATATATTTTAATATATACTCAAATATTTTAGCCAGCTGTACAGGATCTAGATATCCTTTAGCTTTATTATTTATTTACTAGATAATATTGTAATATTTCAAATTGTATTTACCGTTATTTTGTAAATAAATTATTATTATTATTATTATCTAATTTATTCCCTTTTTTTACACACTAGAATTATTAATGAGGAAACTTGCCATCATTTATTGATTTTTTTATAACGTGTGTAGTGTGGGTTACCCCCATGGCACTTAGATCTCATTAGGCCAATTGTGCATCCTCCTAAGATAAGAGGCACCTCCTAGTTTGTGAGTCAGCCTACATATTTATGTAGTTGACAGGAGCTTCTCTTATATCGGCCGGTGTTAACCGATACTCGTCGAAAACCAATCTTCTAATAAATGAGAGCGTCGGGCAATCGTAAAGAATATGCTCGATGGTCTCATCTTCTTGTTCGCACCCTCTGCAGAGTACGTATTCTGCAGCCCCATGATATGAAGATGCTTCCGTACTTGGCAATGACCAGTCAGAATGCCTGTGACCAGACGGAGATTATGTCTAGTCATAGTCAAGTATTTGTTTTCTGCAGTGTTGTCAGGATAACTTAAAAGCTCCCTGGCAACTCTGCAGTTTCTTGTTTCATCCCATCTTTCCTTGAATTTCACAAGGGAATGTTCTTTAATTAGGTTTGTCACTACCGATTTTGTCAGGCCAATATTGGTTGATTAATAAGGATATTAATAACAGGAGATATTTCATAACCTACTTTTTTCTAAATTTTTGAAGTAGTGATAATAATCACTACTAGGATTTTTAGTGTGTTTGTTATTCTTTCTAAGTTTATTTTATTACATTGTTGTATACTAAAACTTCTTGTTTCGATAATAATAGTGTTATTTACAGGTAACAAAATTTACTATCGATATGCAAAAAATAGTCTTTCTAGTTATTTTGTAAAGAAATTTATATTTTAAAACATGGTTTTCTTTTAAGTTTCTCGACAAAGTTTTTGAAACAAATAGCTCTAAATTTTCTATAACTATTGATAAAGGTATTTAAACTAATCATTAATCTATTGTCTAAAGATTATCTAAATCGAATCCGCTGAATTGAATTATTTTATTTTTTTACGAACGCATTGCTGTCACGGAAGACCAGATATTTTCGATAAAAGAGACTAATGGTTTTTTGAACGCTAATGAAACAGCATATTAAATTTGACAATAAATTATTCCTTTCATGACCGCATGTCATTAACCCATTTAAGGGAAACGTGGTTATAGCGTTATCGGACATACAAATTTTTTGATAATTATAGCCGGAGGTTTTAAAAAACGTAATAATTTAGATATTAAACATTAATGATCCGAATATGGGGTTTTAATTCGGTTTATCCTGGTAATCAACATTAACTTACGGTTTTATATTTAGAATTTTGGGCATATACTTTTTCATGAAACGTCTTCGATATATATTTATTAGCAGGTAAACAAATTTTTGTGCGATTACTAATTGTAATATAATGTAGAGAACATCAGCAGTCAAGAGCGGGAAGTGTGAGAAACTGTTGCGGCAGCAAAGTACCGCCGGCTTTTCTCCAGAGAGAACGATTTGAATAGCCTT